CACAATACATTCTCTCCAAATGCTACCAGAAGGATTTGTCGAAAGTCTCCACCAAACACAACAATCTTGCCTCTGAACGGTTTATGATGATTTGTCGGGTCGAGGGCTCCCATTACTGCCTTACAAGATGCTTGAACAGCTTCAAAACAATGCTTATGCATCATTGGGGCCTCATCCCATATGATCAATGAAGAGCGAATAATCAACTCGGCAAGGGGGCTAGCCTGATTGATCTCACACGATGAATTTTCATGCACAGAAATAGGAATGACAAATCGAGAATGTGCAGTTCGTCCGCCCGGCAACAGGAGAGATGATATTCCACTTGATGCAACATAAAGCACAATTTGACCGTGCGATCTTAGCCGAGCAGCTAAAGTCCTCCACAAGTATGTCTTTCCAGTTCCACCATAACCATACACAAAAAACACGCCGCCCCTACCAGAATGAACATATGTCATTATTTTGGAATAAACACCCTTCTGTTCATCGATCATATGTGTCAACAATGCATCATGCTCAATAGCTAGAGCCTTACGGCCATAGTTAAGTACATCCAAAACCAGACGGTTCGCACTTGAATTAATACTACCCATATCTGGAAAAGGCATAGTAGAATAGTCCTTTATTCCAAACCCAACCAAACTCAACCCAACATAATATTTATTTTATATTTATATATATATATATATATATATATATATATATTGAATATTATCTACAATAATTTTTTTTATTGTTTTAGTTGTGATATGATAAAATAAAAGATATGATAAAATTGATAAGTTACGATTAAGAAAAAAGAGTGAAAAGATAGAAATTGTAATTATGTTCCAAAATATATCAAGAATGGTCTCTATTTATAGAGAATGAAAAATAAATTTTTATTTATTTTTTTTATATAAATTAATATAAATAATTTGAGTTACAATAATCTTATTATAGAAAAAATTTATAGACCAATAAGAATGAGACACTTGCCCCATTTCACTCATCTCTTTTCTCTCTCCCTCTTTGTGCCTAGGTTGCGATCCAGGGTCACAATTTGAACTGGGTCACGGATTTTGCTATTTTTTTTTATTCTTTTATTATTTTTAGTTGGTGACTTAATAAAGATAGTATAATATTTATTTTATTTTTATTTATTTATTTAATAAATATTATCTACAATACATTGTTTGGTATTGGTTTATCTACAACCTAACCCAACATAATAATTTCAATTGTTTTCCAAAACATATCAAGAGTGGTCTCTATTTATAGAGTATGAAAAAATACGAATTGTGATATTTTTTATTTTATTTTCTAAAATAAAATAATATCAATAATTTGAGTTATACTTATCTTATCATATAAGATTTATAGTGGACCAATAAAAATAGGATAAGTGTCCCATTCATATTGCATGAAAGTTAGATAATATGGAATCTCCAAAAAATCCGCATGTAATCTTTTTATTTAGATTTTTTGATTTATTTTTTTTTTTTTCAAAATTTTCAAAATTGGTTGAATGGCGCTCAGATTTTAATTTTTTGCCAAAAATCTTTAGTTTCATTATATTGACTTTAGGCGGGAAATGAATTCTTTTTTTTTTGCTGATTTTTTTGAATCTTTTTTCAAATAAATGCCTCCCCTCTTTATATATTAATAGATTAGTGCTGATTTAATACTCAACTGGTCAAACCTTTTTTTTTTCAATTTAAAAATAAATATGTATAACCGATAAAAAAAAGAATTAAATATGTATAGATAATATATTAATTACTCTACAAGCTAGCCGTAATATACAAGTGAAAAATATATGATAACCCCTATTGATTTTTAGACTTAAATGAATAGAGTCGTCTGAAAATAATTCATTTAATATTTATGTCCCGTGCATTGCACGGGGTACGTACTAAATGACGTGAGATAACTCACAAGTGTACGCTCCCTCACTTGTGATTTCTTCTTAAAAAGCCGAAGCCCATATATGGGCCGGGAGCCCAAGCCCAGCTGGGCACGGGTGCGTCATCGCAAGGTCCCACTTAGAATCGGCTTTGATATCATGTAAGAAATGAGGGAAAAACGGGTGCGGTCCCACGCAGATGAAGCGCACTAAGACAGGGAAAACCCAGATGAAGCCCGTGTGAAGTACCACCCCAAAACCAATTGGTGCGGTTCCAAGTTTTTGAGGAGACCAAAGTGTTAATAAAATTCTATCTTGGTTACAAATCTAGTGAAAATCGATAAAAAAAATAGTCGTTTAAATCTTCAAATTCCACCTAAAAGTTGTAATGAAAATCCTATATTTTCATGGAATTATATTACCGTTGAAATAAATAACATTTTATTGTAGTGTGACCGGCTTAGGTTGTCTGGGCCGGGTTTTAAAATCAATGGTTTTAGTGCTGGAATATCACTTGTGAGTTGTCCCATATTGATTTGATAGGGTAAATAGACCTAACTTATAAGCCTAGTGGACTACTCCTCATGTTACCAATTTATTTTGGGATGAAACCCCACTTGGGCTTCATTTGGGCTAACCCTCTTATAGTGCGCTTCACTTGTGTGGGACCGCACTCGATTTGCCTCTGATTTGACATTTAGTATCACCATTTACTTGTGTTGTTGGGAATTGTTCCACTTAGAAGCTAGTGTGTTATAGGTGAGAAGTCTCAGTTTAAGTAGCAACGTTCTATTTTTCGGCACAAACTAACTCGCTGCTGTTTGTGCAAAAGATTAACAAGGCTAAATTAATTATATATCCACGAGGTGTTGTATCATTTTCTGTGAAAAATAGTGCTGAAAGCGTCTACCTTGCTTTTCATAAATTAATCTCCTTAAACATGACAAAATCACAAACACGAGTTAAATTAACGGATTAAGCTCGTTAATTAACACATGATTAGGAGTCATGAGTGAAGTCTTGCAGCTGATTAGTGTGACTTCATTTTCACAATTTCGCATGATTATATATATAACTCAAAATATTAGAAGCTTCCCAAAAAAAAAAAAGAAGAAAAAAATAAAAAGCCAACATGTAAAGACTAGTGAGAATTTACACCTCACGCGACAAGCTGGCATTTTCATTAAAATTTTAAAAAAAAATATTAGTTTCAGAGCTTCTCCCCACTGCAAATATGAACAAAATTGGTTTACAAACTCAACTCGATTCGACTAGTGAAAGCGCCACCACCTCGGCTAGTTCCTTTACTTAAACGAGCCAAATCGAAATTGTTAGTCAGACATCTTGTTTATGTAAGTCCAGCCAAAAGAGAGAAATAAAAAAAAAAAATGTGGTATACAAACACACACAAAAGTTTCACATGGTGGCCAGCCACAACAAAACAAAAGCCAACTATTGTTTAAAAGAAAATACAGCAAATGAGATGCCAATCATAATTGAAAAAAATGAGTTGTCACGAACCTTTCTTCAGTATAAATAGCAGTGTCTGAAGTGCTAAAGAGTGCACCGAGAAGAAGAAAGAAAAAGAGAGCAGAAACAACATCAGTTTCTGGAGTGAGTGTTATTTTTCAGTGAGATAAAAATAGAGTGTTTGAGTAAATCCTGTGAGTGTGGGAAAAATACACCGGGTTGGGTATCAACTCTATTACTCTTTGTTTAAGAGTGGGGTTCTCACTGGGTCACTATATTTTACATTTCTAGTGTAAGGGAGTGTGAAAAGATATTGTAATTATCTTGAAAATATAGTGGAATTGTTCGGAGGTTGTCCCGTGGTTTTTTTCTCTATTTGGAGGGTTTTCCACGTTAAATCTTGGTGTCTTATTTCTTGCATATTTTATTTATTTGGGATATTCTTAGTATGTTCTGTGGTCGCAGTTTAATCTGAACTTCCACATCAGAAAAGAATTATTCTGGTTTTATTGCAAGAAATTTTCTTTTGTCATTCTTGAGTTGCTGGGATTGGGATTATTGTTTACCATTTTACCTAGATATTTTAATTTACATCTTCCACATTTGCGCATCTGAGCCCAACAAGTGGTATCAGAGCTCACGTTGGGCTCTGTATCGGCCAGTGTAAATTAAATGGAGGAGAACGTGGGTACCATGGTGAAGCTCACAGCAACAAATTACTCCATTTGGAAGCCAAAAATGAAGGACATACTTTTCTACAAAGATATGTATAATCCTGTAGAAAAAAGAGACAACAAGTCAGATGATGTGAAGGATAACGATTGGAAAAAGTTACACAGGAAGGCTGTCAGTTTAATCCGACAGTGGGTGGATATCAGCATATTCCACCATGTTGCTACAGAGTCGAAAGCCCATACTCTGTGGAACA